ATTGACAAGGACAGCTTGAGGCTGGTGGCTAGAATATGTTTATAGTGTAATTGCTGGGGGTCTACAGTTCTGAGTTTTGGCAAGGTGACAAGTAGAGACATTCTGCTTTGTGTTCTTGGGGAAACTGTGGATGTCACAGGAGCCCTGGTGCAGCAGTGGGCCCTGAGTTGCCCTGCTTGTTGCCACCAAGTGAGCATCCTGAAGGCAGCATCAAGCAGTGTAATGCTTAGCCTTGTGCCAGCTAGTTAGGAAAAATGTACAGGGCCCATTTCCACAGAACTGACCCAAGGATGGATTTGCAAATGAAGGCACAGATACTGAGAGGCTTGCTGTAGTGTCTGGATATCTGAAGAGATTCTAGGTTGAAATTTATCTTTAGAAGCACCGCTTACTTAGCGTGTGTGCACCTGTGTGCGTGCCTCAGTGCAATGGAGATGAACGGGCAAACCCTTGGAAGCTGGTTGTCTCCTTCCACTGCGGAGGACCTGGGGATTGAACTCAGGCTGTCAGGCTTGACAAGTCGCTATGCACTGAGCCAGCTGGCTGGCCCTGTTGAGCTTTGCTTTAGGGAGGAACACACTAGCCTGGAAGCAGAGTGAGGGGTGAAGGGAGGTACTGTGTAGTGACTAAGCTCCAGCCTGCTTGTGAGGCTACAACTGAAGCATCATTTCTGGAGCCACATTGTTTCAGAATCAGGAGCATGAAATGTGCTAGGGCTATTGGTCTGTCTCCATATATACATGTATGTATAAACTACATAGATCAGCACCTGAATTGATGGCTTTATTATGGTATTCTCATACACACATCATCGTTCTTCGTTCTTACTCTTTCCCCTCCACCACCTTTCCCTAGGCCTGTCTTCCTCTTGGGGTCCTCTTTCTCTCTCCAGTAGTCTTCCTTCTGCCTTCAAGTCACATCACTTCATTACCCTCAGGCCTGTTTAAAGAGCTTCCTTCTTATGTCCCCATTTATACTTTTGTGACCCTCACTGTGCTGCCTTTTTAGTAATAGCTGCTGAGACAGATGTGAAGAGATAATGTGGTTTTCAGTATCAGAATAAATGATGTTAGGACCTTTTAATAAATCAATCAAATAAATAATTTTAATTCAAGTTATTGGTTACTTTTTACATTAGGTTATTTTTAGCTACTGAGTGGTCTTTACTGTATCACATGTATGTCTGGTGAAAGGATATCACATTGACTGCTTTCTCGAAGTCCATAGGGTGACTTTGTTCATTATTGACTTTGCTATACACACATTTTCTTAGAAAATGTAAAAACGTTGATTTTTGCTGTATGTGTATGGGTGTTTGGCCTGCATGTATGTCAGGGCACCATGTGTTGTGCCTCTGGAGGCTAGGAGAGTATGTTAGATCTTGGAGTTACAGAACTGGAGTTATGGAAGGTTGTGACCAAGGTTCTGGAAACTGAACCCTGGTCTTCTGTAAGAGCAGCTAGTGCTCTAAGCCACTGGGCCATCTCTTTAGTCCAAGGTTTTTATTTTTTATTTTTAATGAAGTTTTTTTTTTTTTAATCATTTTTTTAAAGGTTTTCTTCATTTATTTTGAATGTTCTATGTGCATGCACACCCACAGGCCAGAAGAGGGCACCAGGTCACATCATAGATGGTTATGAGCCACCATGTGGTTGCTGGGAATTGAACTCAGGACCTCTGGATGAGCAGAAAAGATGTTTTTATTTTTGTGTTTATGGGTGTTTTGCCTGCTTTTATATCTGTGCACCATGTGTATACAGGAGTGTGTATATACAGGATTGTGCAGGAGCCTCTGGACGCCAGAAAGTACATCAGAGCCCTGGGAACGGGAGTTACAGATGTTAGTTAGGCTCCATCCTGGTCCTCTGGAAGAGCAATCAGTACTCTTAATTGCAGAGTCAGCTCTCCAGCTCCAGATGAATAATTAAAAAAAAAATAGAGAAGAAATGCTGGTGAGGCTGTGTGGAAAGAGGAATTCTTACTGCTGGTGGGAGTGTAAACTAGTACCCCCGTTGTGAAAATAAAGTGAAGTTTTCTCATTATTAAAAATGGATTGCTGTATGACTAAGATGTCCCTCTCCTGAGAATGAACACAGAGACACATGTGTGTCCCTGTTCATCGATCCATTATTCGCAATATCAGGGAAATGGAATCAGGCTAGATGCTCACTAGCAAATGAATGGATAATGAATGTGTATATGTATAAACAAAAATTATTCAGCACTAAATTTGAAGGGAATGGATGAACCTAGAAAGTATTTAGACATTCTTAATGTTTATTTATGTTTGTGTTTATTTTGCCTGCATATGTGAATATGTATCATGTGTGTGCCCAGCACTTGTGGAGGTTTGAGGAGGGTGGTAGATTCCCTGGAACTGCAGTTATGGATAACTGTAAGCTATCACATGGGGGCTGAGAACTGAACTCAGGTTTTCTGCAAAAGAACAAGTTCTTTTAACTACTAAGGCATCTCACTGGGGCTAGATCAGGAATGTGTCAAAATAACTCAGGCTCAGAAAGGCAAATATTGTATTTTTTTTCCATGGGGAAATCCTAGCTTATTTTGTGTGTGTGTGTGTGTGTGTGTGTGTAAGTAAGTGTGGGCATAGGCCATGAAACTAGAAAGGAGATGACAGTGAGGTGGGTGTCGAGGAGGCAAGGAAGACAGTAAGACACATATGAAGGAGGAAAGGAGGCTATGAAGGGGTGCGAGGGCTGTGCAAGGGAGCTGGGGAGAAGAGTCAACAAAACACATTTTGTTTAGAATTTCCCGAATGAAGTGTAATACTGTGTATGCTAATTAAAAAGTTTGAAAATAAAAAACTTGTTATTCCATTAGGGCTTCTGTAACACTTTCATAAACCAGGTAGCTTTTAACCATCATACATTTTTGCTTGTAGTTTGAAAGCTGGGAAGTTCACAAGGCACTGGCAGTTTCTATAGTTGGTGAATGGACAAGCTAGCTAGCTTATATTTTTAGTTATGTAGTTTAAAATATTTAATTAAGTGATCTATCTATCTATCTATCTATCTATCTATCTATCTATCTATCTATCTACAATACTAACCTTCATACTTGAGGAGTTTTACCCTCATGACCTAGTTCTATTTCAGAAGGCTGTTTCCTCGTTGCTATCATGTGGTGGTTAAGGTGCGCATTTGATTTCTGGAGGGTGCGTCACCATTCAGACCGTAGCAGCATGTGGTTTGTTTGCTCTGTGTGTGTTGGAGGTGGGTGGGCTAGACCCCACTGTGTAACCCAGATTGGTCTTGAGTCATGCTGCCACCCCAGCACTGAGATTACAGGTGTAAGCCAACAGTGTGGCTTAGTCTTCATTTACTTTTGATCATTCTGCAATAGAAGGCGGTATGTATTCTAAAAACAGGGTAGGCAAGGACCTTGTTTGTGCTCGGCTCTGCAGGTGACTGGTAGTATTAAGCAGATGCTTGAGATGAGCTCTAGTGAAAAAAAAAATGGATTTGAGCAAATAGTCATGAGCTGTGTGGTGGAAGCAATGGTTTGAGCAAGGGTATTGAGGTGACACTCTCTCTCCTGGTGTGTGAGAAAAGCCAGGGAGCTCTCAACCACAGAGCGCAGATGAGGTGGCTCAGTAGATAAAGACATCTGCCACCAAGCTTCAGTCTGTCGTTCAGGGTCCAAAGGGTAGAAGGAGAGACCTGACTTCAGTTGTCCTCTGATCTGTGCATACTGTAGCAAACTTGTTAGCAAATGCACACATCCAAAATACACCAGCCCATGTCCTGTTGTCACTGGTCTCTTGTCTACATTCCAGCCCCTACAGTTATTTTCCACATAGCACCCTGAGTGACATGACCAAGCCCGGGAAGGGAAAAGGAAACTAGGGGTTAGCTAAAGCCCTCCAGTATTTTTCATTTTGACGACACTGAGGCACCTAAGAGGATATTCCAGCCATTTCCTCCCTGGCTTTCCCCCTACACATAACTTCTCTCACACAGCCATTACTAGATATGTATAAATGGTTTGACGTCTTAGATTCAAAGTAATTGTTTTATTTTCTAGTGACATGACTAAGCATGGGTATATAAAATTAAAAGATATCCAGGAAATATTTTTTGGTAATTAGTTTTAAAGTACATCTGAAAATTATAAAAATTATGAATCAAGAAGGAAGGTTGTTTAAATTCTATAATAAGGGCTTTCTGAAGATGGAAACATTAACTAATGTTATTCTAGGGAAACTCTTTAATATGTTTAAACAGCTTGTTAGTAATTAAAAATGTTTTCCTATGGAAATACACAGTTGCCAGTTTGGTGTGTGAATAGTCAGCAGATGCACTAACCATGGGATGCTCTGGTTGGTTTGGGTATTAATGAGGTATATTGACACTGTCTCAGAACAAATCGAGATACATGATTGTGTGAGCTACTTTTTAGTTGAAACAATAAAACCACCACGATCAAAAACAATTTAGGAAGTTTATTTTCACTTATAGTTCTGGAGGCTTCCGGAGCCTTTAATGCTGGGGAAGGCATAGCATGCAGGCAAAAGCAGGAAGCAGGCTGATTAAAATTTCACCCAGATACAAGAAGTGGAGGGAGAGGGGGAAGGAACAAGGAACAGGAAGTAGGGTAAGGGTACAACCACCCCTTCGTCTACATACTTCCTCCAGCAGGGCTGCACCATCTAAAGGTTCCATAATTTCCACAAACAGTGCCCCAACTGGGAACCAAGTGTTCAAATACATGAGCCTATGGGGTGCATTTTCAATGCTAATCAATGTTATGATTGCTTTCTGCGTTTTTTTTCGTTCTAGAATTTTGATAGCATTTTCCATGCTGCTTTTAGGTATTTTAATAGTTATCTATGGCAAACTGCAGGGATGGGTTTGACCACATAGACCTACTTTCTTGTTTTCTGGTGTTATGATCTCCGTTGTATGTCTGTTTTAACAGGGAATGCATGAAGAAAACAGAGTTGTATTAGGATCCTGATGGTATTGATACTTCTCTTCCAGATTACCTTCAGTGCTGGAATGAAGTGACCCAAGATGAGCAAGCTGAAAGTGGCGGGAGAGAAAAGGTATCGGAGCCTTGACCTGCGTGTGTATTGATACGTGCGATGTGCAGTAATATACTGTGCAGTTATTGGGACTGGTTCATAATGTATGTCGTGCATATTTTACCAATACTTAACTTCTTAGTTAAAGACTCAGCAAGGATAACCCACTGGCTAACCCTGGCTAACTTCTAGTACGTCTAGTGAACTAAGATGGTTTTATATTTGTTAAAGTATAGTACACTTTGATGCATGAAACGGTAGGAAGCTCGAGACTCAGTGCACATCACTGAGATTTTGTTGGGACATAGCTCTGCCTGTTAATCTTCATCTAGTTGGAAGCTGCATGGTCCACAACCCTAAAATAGATGCTTCCTGTCGCTTCACATTTTTGTTGGTTTTGTTTCTTCCATTTAAAAATCAGATGAATCTTACTGATTCTGGATTAGCTATATAGCCTTGAAACATTAACTCTATTGTGCCCATTTTCTCCTCTGTAAAATCATTTTAATGTTAATGTTATACGTACAGTGTCAGTGCTAAGTAATACCTCGCTGAGAAAGTAAATGACATGTTGCTAACACTAATGATAATCAAAGCTTCTACTTTGCTAGCAATGTTGAAGTTTATGTTTTCATGTATATGTTTTTGCTTTTATAGATAATGTGTTATGAAGAAAATGCACAACTTATTAGATAATGGTTAGTTCTAAAATTGTTAGGTTTTCCAGTTATTTAACATAATTGTACCTTCATAAATTGCATTACTTCACTAACTGTATAATTTTACAGGAAGTTGGTTAGGGTGATTTTATAAAAATTTACATTCAAAAGGAAGCACCTCTCTTTCCTTCCCCCTCCCTTTCTTTTTCCTTTCTTTGTGTGCATATGTATGACGTGTAGGGGCATGTGTGCCAGATTGTGCACGTGGAGGACAGAGAACAGCTTGTGGGGGTCAGGGATTTCTTTTTGTAGTCCTGGAAATTGGCTGCCAGGCTCTGTGACCGTGCCTGCTGAGCTATCTCACTGGTACCAGCATTACTTTTCTGAAAGGTCACACAACCAACTTGGTTTGCATTAACTGGTTAAATCGTCTGATTTCTAGAACAGTGCTCACACAGTTTGTAAACCTCAAGTTCCTCATGTCAATTTGTTTTTACTTCCCGAAATAAATTGTACTAGATATTTATTTGATGTTTTAGGCAAGTTAGTCACTATCAGTTTTCACTGTTTTAAATCAATCTATAGTTTCTATTAATAAATACTGTGTTGCTTCTTGCATTGCTGTCGTCACAGCACTTGACAGACATTGGCCTCATGAACGTGGGTAGAATATTACAGGGTTGAAGCACAAAGCAGAGGAGTGCTGGCTACTACCCTAAAGTGGTTAGATTACACACCTGTAAAAACTTACCCAGCAACTTCTGGCAGTTCCCTTTCCCTGTTTCCACAATTTTCTGAAGTAGCAACCCCCCTGGGGCCCAGTCATCTAAGTCAGGGCTAGGGTTATATAGTCAGACCATGGCACTTACCATTTTTCTATGCGTGAGAGCTGAGAGCTTACGGTGAATCAGGATGGAAAAGGGCCAGGACCTTCAGCTGCTGCTCAGTGTCAACAACATCTGCACGCATGAATTCAGTGACCTGTGCATTTAAAAGACCTGGAAATACATTTGTTGTCTGCACTAGCATGTGTAGACCCCTTTCCTGTCACTGTTTTCTAGCTATCAACTGAAATAAAGATGCAGACGTGATTGGCACTGTATGAGGTTTGCAGGTAATCTGGAGATGATAGGGAGTGTACCTGAGGGTGTGGGGCATTACGTAAGGAAGTTGAATGTGCACAGATTTGGGTATGTGAGGTGCTAGAATGTGTGTGTAACATGAGGTTGAGAATTCAAAAATGTATCCTTCAAAGGTCTGGATGGGAGACATAATAGTCTTGGGTGTTTTGAATTATATTAAAACTACATCCGTTTCCACAGGAAATGCATTTTATACTTTACATATCTCCAGGGGCTTTTGTGGACACCTTTTTCTTATTTTTTGGATTATTTCATGACCATGAAGTAAATCTATTTAGTTCTTGGGACTCTACATACGCATATTACTGTTACATGTGTGTGTGCATGCTCATGTACTGTGTGTAGTCATGTGTGGGCTTGTGCTCAGGCTAGAGGACAGACTTTAGAGTGTTGGTGACTTCCTTTTTTTTGAGGTAGGTTTATTTCTTCTCTGTTGTCTAACTTAGGGTAATATGCTTGTTCGAACTCATTCTATTTTAATATTTCTAGAAGCTTTCTATCATGATGTTTCCTGTTTTTTCTGATAATTTGTGTATTCTCTCCCTCCCTCTCTCCTCTCTCTCTGTACCAAAAGGGTCCACACTCTATTTAAAAAGAGTTATTATGTATGAGTGTTTGTCTGCATGTCTGTCTCTGTACCATGTGAGTGCCTGGTGTCCTCCAAGGTGAGACGGGGGCGTTGAAACCCTGAACTAGAGTTACAGACACTAGTGAGCTCTTCTGTGGACTCTGGGAATCGAACCTATGTCCTCTGGAAATGCAGCCAGTATTCTTTACCTGTTGAGCCATTTCTCATCCCCTCATTCTTCTACTTTTAGTCTAAATCTTTTTCTTCAAGGAATTGTTTTTTTTTATTGTTATTTTAAAATATACTTTATTTTTGAAATTAAAATGTAGTACAGGTATGTAGTTTTTCCTTTCCATTCCTCCCTCAAATTCATGGGCTCTTTTTCTTTGGTGACATATATTCTTAACTATATAGATATAGCCTGCTTAGTCCATATAATATTGCTTGTAAATGTTTGTTTTCAGGGCCAACCACTTGGGATTGGATGACCAGTTGAGGGGTTCTTCCAGGGGAAGGCTCTGTCCCCCACTCTCAGCAATCCTTAGTTGCCTGTAGTTCTTTGTCTAAGGTAGGAGCCCTGTGAGATCCCTGCCCTCCGAGTTGCATGTTTGTTGTTGTCCTTGTTAGGTCTTCTTAGGCAGCCATGGTGATGAGCCCTCATGGGTGCTAGGTAGCCTCTCTGTCAGTTGGAGAGGACGCAGTCTCGTAGTAGAGGTTCTCTTCTGCCGCTTGAGTCCTTCCAGCTCCCTTTCCATAGTGTTTCCTGAGCCTGAGGTTCAGGAACTGTTGTAGATGCGTCATTTTGGGGCTGGCACCATGATCACTTCTCTGCATTCTGATAAGGTGTGACTTTCTTGGATGATCTTACTTGTTGCAAAGTGAAGTCTCTTTGATGAGAGATGAGGGAGACACTCATCTGTGGGTGTAAGGGTAAGTTTTTAGACTTCGGTTAGGAAATAAGCTGCTTAGTAAAATGAGGATCCATGACCTCAGTAGCCTTGGGTAGTTAGCTAGGTATCCAATACCAGGCACGATTTCTCTCTTGGTTGAAAGCGCCTTACGTCCAATTAGAGAACTGCTGGTTACTGACAAGGAGTGCGGCATGTCACACTTAGGGTTATCGTGACATTCGGGTTGCTGTTGTGACTCATAACATTTCATAACTGGACAGGACTGTTGGCCGCTGTGCTCCCTGGAAGCTTGTGTGGCTCCTCCTGGTACCTTGAGAGCCAGTCCTCAAGAAGGGCCTTTTAGGTTGGATTCAGCTCAGATCCTCTGGGCCCGGTGGCTAAAGTGCAGTGTGTCTTCAGCATTAGGACTCATCTTCCCCCGCTGGGAGGCAGCCAGGGGCAACCGCAATAGCCTGCTCTGCTTTGGGAGTCTGTTGGACTCTCTTAACTAACAGCTTAGAAGGGCTTCTCATGCCTGGGATGGGGATTTTTGTTAGACAGTCTGTGTCTCTTGGGGAGGAACATTGTCATCCCAGGTGGGAACATTTTATTTAAGCTATATGTATTTATGTACACATAGACTTAGATGTAGGTAAATATGTATTAATACAGTATTTATGGCTTTTGCAGTTATCATTACTGTTATTTTCCTCCTCATTCTGCCCTTTTCTCTTTCTGGGTTGACTGCCTTTTCCTTCTGTAATTAAAACTCTACTTATTTTTTTTTCTATTTCTCTCTTCAAATCAGTTATATTCTACACCTATATACAGGTGCTTCCTGATGGTCTCTTTATATTTCCATGGTTTCTGTGGTCACTGCAAGGTAGTAGTCTTTATTTAAAACTATGAGGCTATTTTGTTTAAAACTTTGAGGGTATTTAATAGACTACATATATATATATATATATATATATATATATATATATATATATATATTATACAGTGAGGGACTGGGGTACTAATTGTAGGCAAAACAATTATTTGTTGTTGTTTTAAAACGAAGTCTCGAATATACAAAGCTGGCCTTAGACTCATTGTGTGGCCAATGGTGACCTTGAACTTCTGACCGTCTTGCTTCCACTTCTGAGGCGCAGTGCTGGGTAGCAGGTATATGTGAGGTTGCAGGTGTGCACCAGGTTACAGGTGTGTGCACTGTCACATCTTACTGGGCTGGGGAATGAATCTAGGGTCTTGTTAGGCAAGCAGTCTCCCAGCTGAGCCGCGTGTCCATGTTGAAGTGGCTCTGGAAAGAAATGAGGCGTGGATGATTCAGTCAGTCTTGGTCTACTATGTGCAGTTGAAATTAATTAAGCCTGGAGGACCATTCTGTGTTCGGTTATGATTGAAAACCAGCACAAGCCTAAGTAGTTCATTTGTGCTGAAGCTCCCCATCACACAATAGATACTTTCATCCTTGCCTTGTGACCGTCGTTGTGATTCCCATCTTGCTTGGAAGGCAGCCATCTAGTAGTATGGCACTACCACAGTAAACGGAGTGAAGCAAAAGTAGAGTGCAGTGCTGCCAGCTCCATTCACAATTGAGAGTCGTGCTGCAGTCAGCTATCTTTAGAGCCACTTAACTGTCAGGAGTAGCAGCTAATGCAGAACCCCCAGACTAGCCAGAACACAAGAGAATAAGTGATGGTGACATACTCAGCTCCAAATGGTACTCAGTGTCACCCTTCCCAAGACTCAAGGAACATCATAAAAGAGGGAATGGAAAGAATATAAGCACCAGAGGATGGGGAGATGAACCTTTTGTACATGGCATGGCTGTTGTCCTCGTGAACTCATTGCAGCTCTTGTTATCTTCTCAAGATTTGCATAGGATGGGGTGCTCAACATTTTGTCACAGGTAGGGAAGGAGCTAGCAGGCCCCACCTATCCCTGAGGAACTGTTAGCAGTTAATGGTAGCTTAAGAAAGGTATTGTTTTCTTCAGTGGTGTAGCAGCTCTTAAGTTGCCATGCTCTAGAAAATAGCCTCCCACTCATGCTCCTGTAAGCAAGCCCCTCTTGGCCACACCCACAGAAGATAGAAAGGCAGGAGGGGGACTTATGCAGAGGAGGAAGGGTTCAGCAGGAAAGGGAGAGGGAAATGGGAGGATTGTAAAATGACTACAGTTTATTACGCACATATATGAAACTATGAAGGAATGATAAATGGGGAAAAAGAATACAATGCTAAGGACAGTTTTAGCTGTGGAAATGTGTGCATCTTATGGTTGACATCTTCATTTAGCTAACTCCTTCTCTCCTGTTCATTCCTTCAGATGTTCTTATTTAGGGCCTGGTGGGGTTCTTCTCTGGGAGCACAGGCAACATTGAGAGGCTGTGAGGCAGTAGGCTGCCTGGACCACCACAGCTTGTACAGTGGCTGAGGGCAGGACACAGCAGCAAGGCAGGATCCGCTTGCTAGGAGACTGAGTCACTGAGGGCTCTGCTGCTTGGTGGTACTTGGTGTGGCTCAAGGTGATTGTGGAAGAGCACTGGGTGCCATGCTGTCTGACCTTCCCTGTTGGTGGTGATAGTCTTTGAATAACTGGGAAGATGCCAAGAAGCACATACCAAATGATCAGTAGGTCTCATCTTGTTTGCTGAGAACATTTTTTCAGCTGCAGGTGATTGGGAAGCAGTTTGATTGAATACATCAATCCCTGCAGATTCCAGGTTCTGCCTGTCTGTGTGCTGACAGAGTCTGTGGTGTGGCAGGAAATGGAAATGGAAATTGCAGATTATCTTGAGTAACAAAAGCACTAGATACCTGCCTTTGGAAATAGTCATGCAGTTCCTCCAAAGGAATTAATTTTGTTAACCTTGGTTGACCTGTAGATAAAGACAGACAAATGGTAAAGTACCATTTGGAATATGTAGATTATTCTTCCAGGATTACATGTGTTTAAGAGTATTACAATGGAGAGGAGATTGTCTTTGCTTTTAATCTAACTGGTCTGGCTTTTGTGTTCTGTTAAGGTTTTTCACTATTTGTGTGCCGTATTCCTGCTCAGGTTATTGATGTAATTATATATAAGTATTAGGCTGGTGAGATGAGTCAGTAAGTAAAGACAGTTGGCACTAAGTTTGACAACCCAAGTTTAAACCTGGGGACTCACGTCGTGAAAAGAATAGAACCAGTTCCGTCAAGTTGTTCTCTGACCTCCACATGTACCCCTCCTTAACAGATAAATGTAAAGAGTTACAAATAAACATACAAACATTTAATTTATAGGAAGAGTAAGTGTACATGATAAAGCATTGTGTGAGGTCAGGTGTAGGCTGAGCTGTTAAAGGAGAGGCCTAAATTGCAGTGGGAGCATAGACTCAAATGTGCTACTGCCATGCTTAAGGATTGGTAGTTCAAGGGTGGTAGAGTAGCTCTGCTTTTCCTTGTTTTGCTTCTGTCTCTAAGCATGTTCACCAGTTTTTGTTTCATATAACCAGCAGAGATGGGGAAGGATATAGATCAGCTGCCTGTCTCCTGTGTGCTTACATCTCACTCAGCTAGAACTTAGATCCATGTTCTTATCTAGAGTGGCAGTCACAGAGTGGTCACAGGTATTTGAAGTCTCTTTCTTTGAGCACTGGCCCAGTTGCATTTCTGTGGCTGTGACAAAATAACCCTGATAAAAAGCAACGTAGAGGAAAGAGTTTAACTTCGCTTAAGTTCCAGGTTCCAGCCCGTAACTGCAGGGGAGTCACAGCAGCAGGAACATGAAAGAAACAGACACACATGCTGCCTGCTCATTACTTTCTTAATTCTTAGAGAGCTAACTTTCCTAATTCTTAGAGAGCTCAGGGCCAGCCTATGGAATGGTGCCACCCAGCAAGTGGCACCCATCAAGTAAGGAACGGTCCCCTGCATCAAGTGACAGTCAAGACAGTCTCCACAGGCACGAGCACAGGACATTCAGAATATTTTCTCTGCAGTTCATGTGTGGGAGTGAAGGGCACTTCTGATTTTCACAAGGTAGACCAGTGGCTTAGGACAGATATCCTTTTAGTTTGCAGCAGCGAAATTGGGACAGCCAGCAGAAGATCCTAACTGACGTGTTTTGGTGGATGTGATCTAGTAAGAGGGGAGCATCGTCATCATCTCTCCCTCCCTCTTCTCCTCATCCTCCTCTTTCTTCTTTCTCTGTTTTTGAGACAGAGTCATTCATATAGCCCTGGAAGATGGTGTCTTAGGGTTTCAGTTGTTGTGATAAAACACCATGACCAAGGCAACTTAAAGAAAAAGGTGTGGGTTTTTTTGTTTTGTTTTTGAGCTTATGGTTCCATAGTGTCCATGATAGATAGCAGGTGTTAGGCAAGTCAGAACAGTAGCTGAGAGCTCATATTTTGAACCCCAAACAGGAGGCTGAGAGCACACTGGGAATGGGACAAATCTTTTGAAATTTCAATGTCTGCCCCCGGTGACACACCTCCTCCAACAGGGCCACACTTCCTAATCCTTCCCAAGCAGTTCTACCAATGGGGACCAAGTAGTCAAACTTACGAGTCTGTGGGGACCATTCTGTGAATGGGGACTGTTCTTACTCCCAGATGGTAAATCAGATCAAACACAATCCCAACCTACTAGCTTTAGGGAGCTGCTGGTGGACTGTTTTCCTATCTGATTTTACAAATGTAAAATGGATGGAGAATGGAGTGGGGCAGAAGAAAGGAATTTTCAGTTTTGAGAAAGAGCAGAGAAAGTGCAAAGTGCAAAGCCTTGGAAAGTAGAAAACTTCCCAGGTACAATAGAAGATTCTTGGATGGGTGAATGCATATGTGTTTTTGTGGTTTTCTGAAACAGAATGTGTTTCCCAATCAGAGCTTAACAGTGCTAGAAAGGCAGTGAGGGGTTGACATGAAGTGTTGATGTGTAAGTAGTTATCTAGCTCTGTGAACAGCCCTCAGTTGACACAGAATCCATGCTAAGAAACAGTCATGTTCTTTTTAGCCTCACCAATAGTTCTCGGGTTGTGGGACTCCTGGCTCAGCTGGAGAAGGTCAATACAGATTCCACAGAGTCAGACACTGCCAGACATGTTACATCCAAGATTCTTCATTTGGCTCAAAGTCAAGGTAAGCTGCAATCCCTTCCTTGTGTTTGGAATACCTTTTAAATTCTTTAAAAGTAGATACTAAGGATGTTCTGACTTTTGATATGAAGATATTCCAATTTTTGATAACTGGATGGTTTTCTGTAAAAATGGGCCTTTCTCATACTGACTTACAGAAGCAGGAAACTGAGGAGGAAATTGATTGTCTTTGGAGGAAATTGATTTTCAGTGCACTTGTTTAGATTTGATCCTTGATCAGATAGATGCCTGAGAGAAACAGCTTATGGAGGAAATACGTGTTTTGGCTCTGCTCTGTTTTCTCTGGCCCTTCAGGAGGTAGCATGCTGTGGTGGGAGAGTGTGGAGGAGCCAAATTGCTCACTCATGACACCCAGGAAGCAGAGAGAGCCTGCATGCGTGGCTGTCCCCCTCATTCTAGTGTGTCTGAAACCTTAGTGTGTTACTACTGCTGCCTGCATCCTTCCCATTAGCCAGTGTGTCTGAAGGTCCTCACAGATGTGGCCGTTGCTGGGCTCTCCTCATCTAGGCATCTCCCCCTAGGTAGTTATCGCTGAGCACCGAAACACACCTTGTGTTTCCAAAAAGATCATGACTTTATAATTTCATCTTACACACCCGAAAAATCACACCCAAAACAGTTTTTTCCCAAGTCTCAGCAGTTCCAATGTTGCACACATTGAGTCCATGCCCACAGGCTCATCTGAGACTTGGCCTCTCAGCTGTGAGCTATAGTGAGACCCAGGAAACCTACACAGAGATGGGCAGAGTGCTTCTTCCCAAACTGCATACTGCTGAGGCCTGTTGCATCCTGACTCTCATGTGTGCTTGCTCTTCAGGGTTGCTTGTCCTGCCTCTTGAGTGTTGTCAGCTGTAGCCCATCTGGCTTCTTCGCTGTGGGGCTCTGCATGTTGCCTGCAGATTTCCTCAGCATATATCATACATCATTCTGATCCTGAGCATGGTCATTGAAAAGGCTCACAAATTGGAACACAAGAAAGGATTTATTTCAAGGAGGCCAAGAAATTATGGTGTTTAAATTAATTTTCCATATGAACATCACAGTCTACCAAAATTATGGGAAAACCTGGATAGAGTGGAAGATGGTTAGTTTAACACTTTGTTCTCATTTAGTATCTAGAATCCCGAGATGATGGTAGAGACTCCTGAGGGAGTTAGGGGCTACATTGGACTGTGTTCACAGGCACAGAGTTTTCCGTGGTTTGAAGCTGAGGTTTGGTGGCTCATTAGTGATCCAGAGCTTTCTGTCTTCTGAGTATATCTGTAACAGTAATGTCTAAAGTGACTTGGCTATGGAAGGTACCAGCCTTACTTTATATACCAAGTATATACTGGCTCTTTGAAACAGTATTTTGTTTTCTTGTAGAACTTAATATTTTTTGGTGGGGGCAGCTGGACTGAGTAAAAGATAAAAGATATTTTGGATAGACAAAGGAGTGTATTTTTTTTCTTTTCCAATTCTGAAAATAATATTTGTTCAAGTGTGTAGGCTTTAATTTTCATTTAAAAATCCAAATAGCACACAAGAGGATTAATAATCTTTATATAAGAAGTGCCAAACAATATTTTAAATATTTTAATAACATCATACCATCTTCAAAATTATTGATGATAAGGACTGAGATGGCAGCTTGGTGGATACCAGCATTTACTGTGTGAATATAGGGGTCTCAGTATCAGTCACAAGCAATCAAGTAAAGATCCAGAATGGTTGCATCTGCCTGCAATCCTAATCTAGGTCCAGGGGTCTTTTCTGAGACTGATACTACAATCAAGGACCATGTATGTAGATAACCTAGAATCCCTGTACAGATGTAGCCTATGGCAGCTCAGTGTCCAAGTGGGTTAAGGGAACAGGGGCTGTTCACTGACATGGATTCAGTGGCTGGCTTTTTGATCACTTCCCCCTGAGAGGGGAGCAGCCTTACCAGGCCACAGAGAAAAACAGTGCAGCTAGTTCTGATGAGACCTGATAGGCTAGGATCAGAAGGAAGGGGAGGAGGACCTCCTTTATTAGTGTAGTGGGGGAGGGCTATGGGAGGGGAAAAAGGAGGGAGGGCAGGATTGTGAAGGAGTGTATTCTTTAAAAAAAAAAAAAAAAGAATTTCAGTTTACAACTATAGGATGCCTGCAGTTGAATTTGCCATGCTGTTTAACATTAGCAGAATGCAGTGGTAAGCAGGAGTGAGGGTGTTTTACATCCTCATAGCATTTATAGAGATGTCTGTTTTGAAAGGCACATGGTTTCTTTAAGTTCTGACAGTCACATGGATAGGACATGAGCTGCTGTGTGATAGCCAGAGGTCACTGTTAGATAGATGTGGGGCTGAGGTCCTGGACCCTTGTTTATTATGCATGAGGACCACCGCAAACTGTTACATTGAACCTTTGGGTGATTCCCTATGTTAGAGCACCTGCTCTGAGCAGACATTATTTCTGTGGAAGTAGAACCTAATTCCAGTAGGAAACCCTTAGAAGACAAAGAAAAGCTTAGTCTGAGTCTTTTCATGCCCCCTTTTGTTGATACTTTTTTCTCACACAGACCTCTGCTCTTAAACTCATAAATTATCTCCATATGAAACATTGAATTTGGCCCTCCTGTCCTTGAGGCTTAATTGTGGAATATATATACATTGAGAGTGGATTCTTTGTCTTTGGGCTTTTTAGATTTCAAAGTGCTGAAATCTAAATGTCATGGTCCCTTGCATTAAGACAGTTGTGGCATTAAAAGTCAAGTCTGAAAAGATAGAGAAGGCCTCCAAACCTATGCATGAATGACTGTGTCAAAGAACGATTCCCATTCCTTTTTGAGAAGTCTGTAGAGGTAGCAGAGGCCATGAGCTCTGGGTTGTGCTCTGGTTGTGCCAGAGTCCCCTTGTCTGCCTCACATGTTCACTTGATGATTGCTGCAGGTCCTGCTTCTCAGCTTGAAATGCCTGTTTTATTTATTTATTTATTTTTATTTTTATTTTGTTGTTGTTGTTGCCCTGAGAGCACTGAGATAATTTATGTCAAGTAAACGGAATAGGAACTGTTAGTTCTTTTCTTCTTATATATTTTATCTCTCCTGTGAATCAAAGAACTGTGGGAAAGATGTAGAAACTTCCTAGTGAAGTTCACATATTTGCAGAGTCCCCATTCCACTGGTGAGGGTGTTGTTTGAGTGCCAGTGTCTTAGCGTCTCACACTTCGGTCCTTCCTTAGGTTGTGTACTCATGGGATTAACAGCTTTGATCTAGTACTAAATACGATGGAAACATTTGAAAATGGCCCTAGGTTTCTGCTGTCACTCATTTTGATGGGCTATTTTTCAGTTCTGTTCATCACAGTAACTTTCATCTTTCATCATGATTTCTACCTCTGTTACAACTCACCACCAGCTCTGATTTTAAGATTTTGGAAGGATTGACAGGGACTTTCGTAGTTCACAATAGTTAAGAAAAAGCTTGTTAACTGGGAACAGAATTACATCCACAGAATAGCATTAATAGCACTAGAGGGATGAACAGCCAGGAGCCAGCTTAACTTGTTTACAGTGCTAGCTTTGTGCAGCAAAATGTTATGTATTCTTTTTGGTTTACATTTAAAGAAATTACTTTTTACCTTTCAGAAAAAACAAGGAGGGAAATGACAACCAAAGGTTCTACAGGCATGGAAGTTCTGTTGGCAACATTGGAGGTATGCCACTAACAGCCTTCACTGGTGTAACTCACAAAAGGGCCGCTGAAGTGAATGCACACACACACACACACACACACACACACACACACACACACACACACGTGCATGTGTGTACACTTGCACACGTATGAGGAGGGATAATGAAGTGAACACACAGATGTGAGTGTGCTAATAATTTGTATTATGTAAACATCTATTTCTCAATGTTATAACAATTAAAATTCTCTTTAAAGGTTAGATATGTTAAAGCTTACTTGTGTGTGTGTGTGGGCACGCGCGTAGGAGGGACGCACCTGCCATGGCTCATGTGGATGCCAGAAGAAGGTTACATGGCATTGGTTTTCTCTTTCCCAGTTTCTGTGGGTTCTGGGTCCTTAGGCATGTGCAGCAGGAACCCTTAACTGCAGAGCCATCAGGATGGTCCCAAATCTTAATATTTTTTTAAAAAAGATCTTACTGTTTTAATTATGTGTATATGTCTGTGGGTGTGTGCAGGTGACTGTGAAGGGCAGAGGTGTTGGATCCCTTGGCACTGGAGTTACAGGTGCTAGTGAGCTGCTTGATGTGGGTGCTCAGACTGAAGCACTTGCTGCTGAGTCTGATGACCTCAGTCCAACCTCCAGGATCCACATAGTTGAAGGAGAGAGCCTGTGCTGATCAGTTGTTCCATGAACTCCATGCCACCTCCACATGCACAAATAAATAAACAGTGTAAGAAAAATGGCGAAGAAACTGAAGTTTTGATGGGACGGCAAAAGTCATTGCGATTGTCCTTAGAGAGAATGGAAGGAATCTGTCCTTTGTTAGACATAGGTTACCAGCAGGTGAAAACATGCGAAATAAAAATTGGTGTTTTAATAAAACAAATCAACTATTTGTTTCAGAACACGAAAGATCTTCAAACTATACTTAATATCCTAAGCATTCTTTTCGAGCTGGTGTCATCTGGTGAGTTTTGATTCACATTGATTCGTATTTGTAAGTAGTGACCAGAAGTGTGTTTTGTAGGCTTCGTTTAATGATTCTTGAATTATTGTTTTGAGAGATGAAATATGGTTGTTGCTTTCTGTGTGAGGGAGGGGGAAGGAAAGATGGGATGTGTGTGTGTATGTGTGTGTGCACATTCCTTTTTTACTCTCCACCTTATTCCTTTGAGGCAAGGTCTGAGCTGGAGCTTGAGGTTTTCAGCTAGGCTAGTAGCCAGCAAGCCCCATTGAACTTCCCTTCCCTGTTCTCCACAGTGCTGTGAGACTATTCCTGTCTTACCACATGGCTACTGGGATTACCTCATGGTTGCACAGCAAGCTCTTAACCACTGAGCCATTCTGCAGTACAGTGCTTTTGATATCTTCAAATTCTTTTTTCATACTTAGACAGCATCTTGAGCCCAGAATTTTGGTATCATTTGTGTTTATTTTTGTTTTTTGTATGCTGCACTTTACATAAATAAGTGAAACAAAACAAATTATGAGCTGATTGTAGTGGTACATGCCTGTCATTCCAGCATTGGCAAGGCTGGGGCAGGAGGATCCCACATTTTAAGTCTAGTCTGGGCTGTATAATGAGAACCTGTACCAAAACACAAAATATGGTTTTGATAGCATTTGGTCTTAGAAATCAGTGGTTGAAACATTCTTGAATGCCAACTAATTGTGATGCCCATTATGGGAAGGTATGCTGTTTGCAATGTCAATTTTTTTTTTTTTTTTTTTTTAGGTGGAGGTCGAAGAGCAAGTTTCTTAGTTGGCAAAGGTGGCTCACAAATACTGTTGCAACTACTTATGAATGCTAGCAAAGATTCTCCCCCACATGAGGAAGTTATGGTACAGACTCATTCCATTCTTGCAAAGATTGGACCAAAAGGTAAGACTTCTGTTTTCATGATTATTGAATCTAGATCCATCCTTGTAACTTGGAATCTTTGTGTCTTAAGCTCTTAAACTTTGAAATGTAAAGTACTACTTTTTCTTGGATTTAACAGTAGAATATTATTATTATTACTATTACTTTGCAATTAGTCAGCAAGAACTGAGGATCCAAGAGTCATAATGAGTTGTTGTGAATGTGGTGTAAAGCAGAGACATGGGAGTGTTACAGTGTGTTTCAGTGCTTGTGTGCTGTGTGCATATACATATGTGTCTACACACATGTAGGGAGGGTACATGCTGTGTGTTGAGAACTCACAAGGAGGGCTGTGAAGCAGCTGTGTGTGGAAGCGTGTGGAAGCAAGCATGCGGCTGTGACAGTGTTATCACTGAGACTCACAGTTGTAGTGTATGCAGTTCAGTACTCTGGAAACCTATTTACAAAGACTAGAGAGATGTGAAAAATTGTGAGTCCGAGCTGTAGAGGGACATGTGAAATCCACAAAGCACTGTGAGTGAGGATGGGGCCAGGGCCAGGGAGCAGCTGTTTATTTAAGGGACAGAAAATCTTGTAGTCTTTGAATGGGACCTAATCTCAGTATAGAGGTGTAGGTCTGCACAAGCCAAGAGAAGCTCCTCATACTTAAGCTTCTGCTTTGAAGCATTTGCCCTTGTCCTACATCATATATGTTGCTTTTGAAGGGTCTGACTGTGGACGTGTTATGCATTTGTATGTAGGCATGTATGTCTTCATGTAGCATGCAGGTGGCTGTTTAACTCGTACCTTTACCAGGTCATGTTTTAAAAAGTGCAGCCTTGAGACTAAATGTAGTACATAAGTCATCTTGATTCTTATTTTTCTTTAGCTTCTGTATTTGAGATTCATGAATTCCTTTTTTGATATTTTTGTAGAAAGTGAGATAAAAAGTTTTGATTATTGGTAAATATGCTAGTACACTCTTCCTCTGCTGATCAGAACCAGATCATCTTTTCCTCTTTCACTTATTTTCTTCCATTCTAGCTTACATAGGTAATTACTATACTATCTTATTCTGCATCTTAAATTTGTATTTTTCCTATTAGTATTTGTACAACTTTTCTGTTTTTATGTTATTCATTGAGGTTGAGTGATTCTTTTTTTTTTTTTTTTCTTGTGAAATGAGAGTAATTTTCACTTAGGAATATTCAATTCTTTCTGCCTTAAAATTTCTGTTGTTTATGACTTACCTCTGCTGTTCTTATTTCTTTTTTAAAACCTTATTATTCTTCAGATCTTATTGCTTAGTTTTTTGTTTTTTTTTTATGGTTGTGATCTTTTTGTGAAAATAAAAGTCAAGAACTTCTGTTCTTTATAGATACAGTAATGCTAAGAGGTAGCAATGTTCATTACCCTGAATTGCACATAATAAATATAGGGGTAGTAAGATATCACCCTGTATTCTATAAATATGTATAATTATATTAATAAGAAATTAAAAGTAAAATATTTAAGAGATGGAAATAAACTGCCTTGACTTGGTTGTTAAATGTCATTTCATGTGTTGAGTTCCATTACACTATTTTTCTATTTCTTCATACATTTTAAAAAGATTCATCTTTACCATTTTAAAGTGTGTGTGTGTGTGTGTGTGTGTGTGTAGGTACATGAATGCAGATGCCTGAGGAGTCGAGAGTTGTCAGATCTTCCTGGAACTGAACGTACATATAGTTGCGAGGTGCTTGCTATGGGTCCTGGGAGTTGAACTTGGGTTCCCTGGAAGAGTAGTAAACACATCTAACTTTTAAGCCATTTCTCCAGCTGCCCATTAGACATTTGTCTAATATTTACCACATTATTTTATATTTAACCTATTCACATTTTTATTAATTTGTATGTTATTTTATAGGTGTGAAAATAATATGTTCATATTAAATAATACTGGTAATGGACATTTAGGTTCTTTACCCTTTTTCTACCTGTATTCATGGGAGGAATATTGAATTAGACTTACTGGATAGTAGATCAGCTATGGTCTCCTCTCATTGGACTGTACATGTTGGCCTAATCTCGCCCTTCCCTGTCTTACTCTCTTGCTTGTCCCTTGATACGTGGTTGTAGGATGTACTTTGGAAGGGTAGATACTCTACATCATGCAGAAATGGTTATAATTTTGACTATTTCATGTCAGTTTTACATTTGAGATGAATGTGTAGTATAGATTTAACATGTTACTGCTTTTTTGGCAGTGCTGCTGCTTGAACCCAGAGCCCAACATGTGCCAGCCAAGCCCTCTGTCAGTGGGGTTATATCTTTGGTCTTTATTGATTTTCAAATTATTTTTGTTCAAAAGTTTTATGTGAATATATTTTTTTTAACAGATAAAAAGTTTGGAGTGAAAGCTCGAGTTAACGGGGCACTGAACGTGACTCTCAGTTTGGTCAAGCAGCACTTGCAGAACCACCGCTTGGTTCTACCTTGTCTTCAGCTCTTACGAGTGTACTCTACTAACTGTGAGTACTCAGAGGCTGCATGGATTTACTCAGGGTCCTGAAGTTATATAATACTACCTACAAAACCATCTTCAGTCTGTAAGTCTCTAAAGTTTGTGGAAAGGTAAATCTTGATATGACTCATAAGTCAACAAAAGTGATTTGGAGTAATAAGGTGAGGTGACAAAAACCTTGAGAATTCTCACCAGTTCCCTTAATTCGTGAAGGACTTGGGTGAGAGGAGAGCCTGTGGAAAAGCTTCCAGTGAAAGAGAATTGGCATCTGGGAAACTGCTTCTGTCTGTATACTAGTTGTAATTGTCAACTTGACACAATCCAGAATCTTGTGGAAAAGAGGGTCTCAATGAAGGATGGTCAAAGGCAGGTTGGCTTACGGGTGTTTTCTGTGGATGGCCACTGTGATTATGTTAAGTGAGTTGGGAAGGCCCTCCTCTTGTGAATGGTGCTGGTCCCCGGGCAGGGACTGTTACCTGCGTAAGAGTGGAGGAAGCGAGATGAGGGCAAGCATGCATGCATGTATCTATTGCTCTCTGCTCCTGACTATAGCTTATATGACCAGCTACTTCAGCCTATTGCTGCCCTGACTCCTGCTGTGATGGATGCTTGCCTGGAAATATGCACTAAATAAAACCTTTTCCCTATAAGTTGCTTTTCTCAGGGTATTTTGATCACAGCATCAGGAAACAGGTAAGATACTGTCTTAGTAAGGGTTTTTTTTTTAGTGTGAATAGACACCACAACCACAACTAAAAGAAGACATGTAATTGGGCCTGACTTGCAGTTCAGTGGTATAGTCCACTATTGGTGGGAAACATGGTGACGTGCAGGCAGACCCGGTGCTGGGAATGAGCTCAGAGTTCTACATCTTGATCCACAGGTAGCAGGAAGAGCAAGTGAGCAACAATAGGCCTGTCGTGAGCATTTGAGACCTCAAAGCACACCTCCTATGCACACACACAAACACACACACAAACACCCCCACACACTATGCATACAAATTAGAAATAAATTATAGGCCATTTGTATATCCTGAAAAAAATATTATATGCAGTGCAAGGTATATGTGTACATACATGTATATGTACACACTGATAGTTCAGTTGAAAGTATGTTCAGAAAGGCAACGGATATCTTTAAGACTAAAAAGAACATAGGGGAATGACACAGGGCTCACTGTGTCAGCCTGGCTCATTGTGTCAACCAGGCTAGCCTCAACTCAGAGATCTGCCTGCCTCTGCCTCCTGAGTGCTGGGATTAAGGGGTGTGCCACCACACCCAGTTTATGTGTAGTTTCTTTAAAGTAACGTGTATTCAGAATTAAAAAAAAAACTGGGCACAGTTTTCTCACTGTTCTCTGTAGAACACCAACATTGTTGTTTCGTATGCTCAGGGTCTGTTTAGTGAAGGTCCTGGCACATCTCGCTAGGTTGGACTCTGCAGAGTTCTGTAAGCTCTGTGCTGGCTGTTGAAACACACATCTAGTTTGTTGCCGCTCAGTACTTGTTTTCTCACCTTCCGGTTTGCAGGCCATGTGTCCCATGTTCATACCCGTGGTTCTCATACTAACATTGTTCATGCTATACCTCCTGAGCTGCCGCAGAGCCATTCTTCTTAACGTTACCTGACTCTCTCATTGCTGACTCCTGTTCACGTTGAGTGAGCTCAGACATCGTTTTCTCCAGAAATCCCTCTGTCTCACTCTGAAATGGGGATGCCTCATGGAATGAAACAGCCTCTAGCTCCTCCTGCATCTAGAAAATGACATAGTAATCATCTCCGTTCTGTTTTTCTTGCTATACTCAGGTTGCTTCTTTTCTTTTATTCCCAACATCCACTTTTCTGGTGTCATTTCATAATAACTCTTTAGGATGCTCGTTGCTTCCAACTTGCCATAAAAAAATAGCAAAATACCAACCAACCAACTCAGACCCCCAATCCCTACAGCAGACCTTCATAGTGTACAGGGTAGCTTGCATTCATGTTGAGTAAATACTTCGAAATGTTTTTGGATTCATCACTAAGGTTCAAATCACTTTCTATCTTTTTCTTGTTTCTCAGCTGTGAACTCAGTATCTTTAGGTAAAAATGGAGTTGTGGAGCTGATGTTTAAAATCATTGGACCATTCAGTAAGAAGAATTCCGGTCTTATGAAGTGAGTACATGTTTTGATGTGAGTAGAAGTTTGTCTTTAGTCATCCAAGCTTCATGGCCTTGATATGTAGCTAAGCAGTTGAAGTCAGTTTTGTCTAGAGTCTTTAGTTCTTAAATAGTGATTTTTTTAATAATGATAAAGATGTTAATCAAAGCTTAATCTTTAAATTAGAGATTTTTAGTTTAGTAAGTATAGTGTTTTTAGAGATGATGACTTTGAATGCCTGTAGACCTTATGAGAGAAAGTTGGCCATTTCCAGAGCATCACTCACTGAGACCTTTGTTGAGTGCCTACTGTCGTCCTCACCCAGTTTGCTGATCTTCTAATGACTCGTTCCTTCTCATGATTACCTGATGTATCTTAATATTAAACAGCTTTATTTTGCCCAAATCATGTTATTCTTTTTATCTTTTCTTGTCTTGGATATATGTTGGTGTATGAGTGTATATATGTACTTACTTTAAGGTTGTATTGTATGTATATTTTTTCATTAATTTATAGGTCTTGTAACTTCAGAAATGCAGTGCTCTGTGTTAGGGGTTATACTCAGTGTAGGTCTACTGAGGTTTTTTTATACTCACACAGCAAGGCTCATGATGTGTCCTGCCCTGTGGATGGCAGTGAGTCATCATTGTCCTGTCCTTTATGCTACTGCCACAGTGCTGTTTGCGTGTTTCACTGTAGGTTGTTGAGTAAATCGTCGGTGTTTCCTGTGGTGTTGTTATCTTTCCCAGCTAGTTAATAGCCACTTCAGCACACACCTCTATTAAATAAGGATGGAAAATTCCTACCACTGCCACAAAGATATCAGCAGGATAAAGCCTTAATAGAAAATAATCTCCATGTTTTTGGGTTGCCTTGAGTCATACTTTTGTGTGGATTTGTTTAGCTGAAAAACAAGTTACACACATTGTTCCCCAGGATCTTTAGGGAGCTTACAACTTCTCAGCTCTGTGAACTCCCACTATAGCCACTGGCCAGTATTCTGCCATTGCTGTTTCATCCTTCATTCTGTTCATGCAGTCTATCTGCCATTGCATTTGATCTGTAAATTTTCAGTTGGATTATCAGATCCAAACTCTTTTTATTGCCCTAAGTTCATTTTTGTACCCAACAATATTAATAGTGATTCATTTCCTGTTTGTAACTGCTAACAAAATACCTTCTTGCTACTTGGCTTATTTGGATCAAGGTTCAAATAACTTTTATTTGTTGGTTGCATCTCATAATTCTTTGAAAATAACAAACAGGCCATTGTTCTGTTGTGATATTGAAGGGTCTGTGTGATGTGTAAAATATATCACATTCTAGATCAGGTGACTCTGCACATGTCTTGGCATATAGGTGTGTCCTTTATGTGTGCTTGCGGCTTGCCTACATTTTATTTTTTTATATTTTTCTTTTTAAAATTTATTTTTATTTTTTTAATTAATTACAGTTTCTTCACTTTGTATTTCAGCTGTAGCCCCCTCCCTCATCCCCTGCCAATCCCGCCCTCTCTCCCTTTTCTGCTCCTATGCCTCTCCCCCAGTCCAGGGATAGGGGACATCCTCCTCCCCTTCCTTCTGACTCTAGCCTATCAGGTCTCATCAGGACTGGCTGCATTGTCATCCTCTGTTTCTTAGCAAGGCTGCTCCCTCTGGTGGGGGGTTGTATGTGTGATCAAAGAGCCAGCCATTGAATTCATGTCAGAGACAGTCCCTGTTCTTCTTACTAGGGAACCCACTTGGAGACTGAGCTGCCGGGGGCTACATCTGAGCAGGGGTTCTAGGTTACCTCCATGCATGGTCCTCGGTTGGAGTATCAGTCTCAGAAAAGACCCCTGGACACAGATTTTTTGGTTCTGTTGCTCTCCTTGTGGCATTCCTGTCCCCTCCAGGTCTTTCTATCTCCCCCTTCTTTCATAAGATCCTCTGTATTCTGCCCAAAGTTTGGCTATGAGTCTCAGCATCTGTTTTAATACTCTGCTGGGTAGAGTCTTTCAGAGGCTCTCTGTGATAAGCTCCTGTCCTGTTCTGTTTTCTCCCTCTTCTGATGTCCATCCCGTTTGCCTTTCTGAATGAAAATTGAGCATTTTATCCAGGGTCCTTTTCCTTGAGTAGCTTCTTTAGGTGCACAGATTTTAGTATGTTTATCCTATATTATATGTCTAATATCCACTTATAAGTGAGCATATGCCCTGTGTGTCTTTCTGCTTCTGGAATACCTCACTCAGGATGATCTTCTCTATTTCCCACCATTTGCCTGCAAGTTTCATTTCCTTATTTTATTTTTATATGGAACGCTTCGCACATCCTTGGGCAGGGGCCATGCTAATCTGTCTGCTCTTCAAGAGGTCCATAGTTCAATTCCCAGCAACCACATGATGGCTCACAACCATCTGGAATGAGATTCTGTGCCCTCTTTGGCATATAGGTATACATGCAGACAGAACACTGTATTCATACATAATAAATAACTAAATAAATCTTAAAAAAAAATAAAATGTTTGTCTCACAACTAGTGAAACCCACGTAACAGAGTGAGTGTGGTGCAGTGGGCTGTGCAGGCAGATGGTGTGGCCTCTGAATGTTGTCCTACAGCTCACTGACACCACAATCCAAAGTATGTTACTTAGCCTGCCACTCTCTTTTCTGGATTTAAAGATAGATAGTATTGATGTCTTTGTTATAAATTAAAGGGATTTACTGAGGTGAGTCTCAGGAGCACAGATGTATTAATACGACATTTGTTTAGTTGAGCAGTATGGGAGTTGTGTGAGAGTGAGCCCAGGGTGTACCCACGAGCAGTTTTAATGGTTCTGGGGACTGGGCTGTGGCTTTGTACATACAAGCAACTGGTGTGCTGTGAGCTGTCGTCCAAGGCCTGTTTGCATTTATGTTTCATTACCCGTAATATGTAAAGAAGTACACCTTTAGTGTAAGGACCGTGACCTTCCTACGTGATCTCTACATGGTTCTCTTGTACCCATGCTACCACAGCTAATATAAAATGCTCATAGGAGAAATGGAACATTTCAAAATTATGTTTGAATTGCAGTGTAGGCTGGTGGAGCTTGAGGGACAGCTCGTCCAGTCCTGGGTTCAGAATGCAGCACTACAAATAAACCAATGAGGTGTTGTTATAATGTACCACGTGGGCCATTTCCAGAGCTGTGTAGAACAACAGGCCTAAAGGTTCTGAGAGAAGAGCATAGTTATCTACTGGTATTCAGTGTGTGAGTTGCTGTTCATGCGGTGGTGTGCAGAGACAGCGCTGGAGAGTCAGCCTTTGTCTCCCACCTTGTTGAGGCAGGGCCATTTTTGTCGATCTTGCAGCTGCACTGTTATCTAGCCTAGCTGGCCAGCAAGCTTCTGGCCTGCCCTCCAGTCTTTCCCTCCTTTCCTGCAGAGGAGGGTAAGGTACCAGATGCACACTGTGGATATAGTTTTTATGTGTGTCCAGGAGTCCAGGCTTACACTGCTAGTGCCTTGACCCATGGAGGCTGCTACCCTAGCTTTCTGTTTGTATTCTTACCTCTAAAACTTTTTTCATTTATTTATTTGCTTATCTGTCTGCTGTGTGCATGTGTGTGTGTGTGTGTGTGCATGTGTGTGCGTGTGTGTGTGCGTGCGTGCGCGCACACCAGTTTGTTCTATGTGTTCAGATAATTGGAGAACAACTTGCTGGGAGAAAGCCTTTCCTTCCACCACATGATCCTGGAAATTGAACTCAGGTCACGCAGCTCACTAGTAAGTGATTTTACCTGCTAAGCCATCTGGCTGTGCCTCTGCTTATATTTTTAAAAGAACTTAAAAAGAAAGTTTATATTTATTTTAAACCATTCAGTAGCCAAACATTGATGTCCTTATTGTCATTTTTTTAGAAATACAGCCATTTCTGTCCTAGTTAATGACATTTGGAACTTTCTATTGTGCTTTCTTCTTAAATAATGCCTTATTTAAAAGGAAAGGATCTGAGGAGACTCACATTTGCAGCCTAAAGCTTTCCTTTAGGAATCTTTTCCTTTGATGGTTTTAGATTTAAACTTAAACTGTTAGCACAGAACGCAGCAGTCCAGGAAGTTATCATAGCTGTGCTCTTCAGAGTCCTGTGAACTTGTCTTCCCTCCTATAAGGAGAGCAGTCAAGTTGTATTGGGGTTCAGCTCATACTGAAGGTCAATGCTAGGACTGACCTCCAACTTAAGGTGGCTGTGCTAGCTTCATTAATAACTAAACATAACCTTCTTCCTCATTGTTTGTAGGCTACCCTTTAGGTTCTTGTTGTTAGTATTCTTCTGTGTGAGAAATATGAAAATTGGAAAACTAGGAGAAAGCATAAATCTTTTAATCACTTAACACAGTATGAACTATTCATTTAAATTTTAAAACTATAATAAACTCACATTATCCTCTAAGTTTAGTATTTAATTCTTGTTCAAAAATTGCCATTGGGGACTGGAGAGATGGCTCAGAGGTTAAGAGCAGTGGCTGTTCTTCCAGAGGTCCTGAGTTCAAATCTCAGCAACCACATGGTATCTCACAACCATCTATAATGAGATCTGATGCCCTCTTCTGGCATGCAGGCACATATGCAGGCAATGTATTGTAGAAATTGCCATTGGCTTATCAGTGTCATAGAGTTTCAGAGTCATTTTGTTTTGTTTTGTTTTTGTTTCTTCAAGACAGAGTTTCTCTGTGTAGCTCTGGCTGTTCTGGACTTGCTATCAGGCAGGCCTCAAACTCAGAGATCCATCTGCCTCTGCCTCCTTGGGTGTTGTAATTAGAGGTGTGTACCCAGCTGTTTCAGAGTTTTTTATGCTGAAGCTTTCCAATACTGTTTTGGTAAGTTTTCAAGATGACTGCAAGTTGATAGTTTCTTTTAATTTAGTGCAGCTGTGGATCATGCTCAGTGCCACTGGTGTGAGAGGTCTGTTTACACTTCAGCTTCCAACATGAACAGTAAACGTATGTACACCCACACTTGTGCGCACACACACTTTTGAGAAAAGCTCTAGCTAAATGTAAGGAAATGGAAGTCAATAGGTACTTGTGCCCAGTGCTGGAAATGACAGGTATTTATAAATGCCCCTCAGCTCTAGAACCTGGACACCCCATCTCAGTTTCTCAGAAGGCTGTTCTCTCTGGAAGCTCTGGGAGTGCCTTCTTCCTGCCTTTTTGCTAGTTTTTGATGGTTTGCTGGCAAGACTTCAGAAGTCCTTGGCAGTTGTTGCTTCTTATCGTCTGCTTTCAGCCTCAGTTGATGGTGTTCTCTGTGTGTGTTTGCCTTACAGGGTCTTCTTTAAGGACCCAGTCAAGTTGTATGAATAGCCCACTACCTGCACGTGATCTCATGTTAGCTGTTGTATCTTCAGTGACCCTGCTTCCTGATGAGGCTAGCGATGTGGGGTGTACTTCGTCTTGTGACAGTGATTAAGTTAACTACATATGTTGATACTTGGTGAACGTTCTGGTTGTCTGCTCTCTGCATTTTGCCTTGTTCCTTGAAATAACTTATATGTGACTTCTGTCTGTGCACAGTGGCTGCTATTAAAATAGTGTTCATGATAGTAGCTGTTATAAAACAAAAAGGTTTAAAAAAGAGAGACTATTATATCGAAATGGCAAGAAATGCTGAGAGCTGTCCATTCCTGGATATAAAGAATGCCATCATACCCTGGGCCTTGCAGCTTTTGTTGTTGAATGCTCAGAGGCGTATGCACTTTGTTTCGGTTTTAGTTCTACTTTCTCCCTGCTACCAGGGATTGATCTTAGAGCCTCTTCCATGGATCTGTATCCTCCATGGGTTTTACCACTGTGTGGAGGGGTTTATAAAACAGTAAAGGTTAAACAAGGCTCTGCAAAGAGGCAGAGTTGCTAGTTCTCTTTGAGGTCACCCCATGGGACAGGGTGACACCTGTCTGCCACAGTACACTGGCCATCCTCAGGGACAGTGGGTGCAGGTGCATGTGTGTGCTACCTTCTTACGCTTTAGAGGCACAGTTCTGAGTGTTAGCTTCATGTCCACAGGCGCACAGGACGTTTAGGTCATAAGAAGAGATGAACAGTGAGGCCAAACAAGCTTCAGTTTATATTAGTGCTGTTATACTCAGTCTTGATAGTGTGACAACTCCACACATTGGGAATTTTCAGCATTCCAGAAGGCTGTCAAGCTTGCAGACCTTCATGGAAAACCTAGCACTCAAGATCTAGTGAAGGTGTCACGGCAGCAGCACCTGCCCCTGTTGGGTGCTCCGTGTGCTGTATCTGAGGGGATCAGAGGCCTGTACCAGAAGAGAAAGCACTTTGTGGATGGCTATCCTGCCTGTCTACCCTTTTTTGTCCCATCTACCCTTGGGAGTGGCTGCAGTGGCCACACGGCTCACCAAGAGCTCCATGTTGATTTCTTTAGAGAGAGACCTTTCTGATTTTGTAATTGTCTTTATCAACAAAGGGCTTATATTATTTTGCATACAAGATTTATTATTTGGTTTTTGGCATATCATAGCTTAAGTTCTATAGCTTCTCTATCCATAAAGCATCGATTTTTGTTGTAGTTGTTTCTAGGTTTGATTGTGAGTCAGTATTCATCTCATGGCAGACCTTCTGGTCACTTACACTCTGTGTGTCTTCTGGTCACTTACACTCTGTGTGTCTTTGTCTGTTTACTGCTTCCCTTTTATCACCAACACATGGACCTGCTACGTTGCCAGAGTTCTAACTTCTTATGTTGTTTTTGTAGTAAGTGTGTACATTCTCTTATGTAAGGTAGATTGTAAAATTATCTGAAGTGATGTTTGTTTTAATTTATACCCATGAAGGAGTGTGTAGTAGGCATTCAACAAATGCTAATGGTGAGTGAAATACTTAAGCTTGATAATACAAATTTTAAGTGAAAATTATGGTTGTTAACATCTTATAAGCAGATATTATAGTATGTAGGCTTACCGTTTTGAAGTTGAAACTGAGGGCCTTTTTGTTATACTCCCCCCAACCAGTAGCTCACTTTTTATAAACCATTTGAATTCAGGCTTTCTACAGTGATAGATAATGTGTCCATACAGCTGCTTTTGGCAGCTGATATCACTGTGGGTAACTGAGTATGCTCAAGAAAATGTATGTACTTTCAATTTTTAGGGTTTGTTCCATGTCTTATGAAGGGATAATTAGGTTTCCTTCTAAGTTGCACGGTTTATAGTTATCCTTCTGTCTAAGGGTTCTAGCACATGGCACTGCAAAACTGTAAAATAAGAAATGGAGACATCTGTGGAACTCTGTAGACCTGAATTAGATCATTACAGCTTGTCCTTATTTTAATTCCTTTGTAACCAGGGCCCTGGGTCTTCACTTTATGTACTCTCAAAAGGTCAAATGCAGATTCTGTAATTGATTTCATCTCTCCAACTGTGACATGAACGCTTAGATAAAGTGCTTTGAGTATTTTAATCTTACCTGATTTTGAACTCAGGGAGAGATGCACACACGGAATACCAATAATCAGTGTTGTCGCAGGAGTAAATGCATTTTGGAATGGCTAATAGACAAGATAAGATTTGACAGGATTGCATGCATTTATTGTAGAGTCATTTCACTAGTTTTGTTGTTGTTTGTGTTTTCTTGTTGTGTTGACAGGGTTGCTTTAGACACTCTTGCTGCATTGCTAAAATCAAGTAAGTTTTTAAATACTAGAAATCATAGTGATTAAAATCTCTATATATCTATGTTCAAGAAGCTGAAAATTAGACTTAGTGTATGTAGTTAAAGCTAGTTTCTTACAGTCAAAGCTCCTGATAGATTAATTTCTCAGAAAATGATGCTTATATAACATTTCTGTACTTTCTTTTAATGACAAGTCTTTATGCTGTGTCAGTAAGTTAGAAGTATGAAAACGATGCACTTGAATAAATTATCCAAATCAAAGGAATAAACTAGCCTAATAAGCATGTCTTTATAATGTATAGCAGCTTCATAGAACATAAATTTAACATAGTGACTTTTATTAGAAATTGTTTTTTACCGTAAGTTCAAATTTATAATATTTAAAAAGTGACATGGTATAAACTTGGAACAGTGATAAATTCACCTGCATGGAACTCACTGTCTTCAGAGCTGAAGCATTGTCCTATGATGCTTTTGAATAAGTGCTGAATGTATTGAGATTTGTTTCATACATGCTCAGTATGTTTTTGAAATATTTTCATAGTATTCTCCCTATGATCAGGTGCTAAGTAACATTTAATCTTGACATTTAGTCTGAAAGATCTCTCTCGATGGCTTTTATATGCCCTCCTTTCCCAGTATACAACAGGCAGTTGGTCAAAGACTGTTGTCAGGGGTGGGACCACCTTGTTTACTAAGTTTTCATGGCTATCTGTATTTTAAGAGTAACATGATTAATTAAAAGTGTGATCTTGCTGGCACAGTGGCAAACACCTGTTATCCTAGGAAGTGGAAAGCAGAGGCAGAGGGATTTCCAGCAAGTTCAAGGCTAACTGGGTCTACATAGTAAATTTCAGGTCATTTGTGGCTACATAATAAGATTCTTTCTTTAAAAAAAAAAAAAGAGTAAAGTTAACTTAAAAATATGGCTTTTGTTTTTACCAGAATTTTTGTTTACACTATTACCCTTGGGATGAAATGGTGGGTTTCAGTGGGGCAACTCTTTTGTCTATGAAGTGATAAAGTGTCAACCAGGGTCATGTGATGAAGCAAAGCATCTGTTGAGTGGTTTTTATCTCCTACCTCTTAAAATACACACCACACAACATGGGACACTTAATACTGCACAGTGATGTTTACTGGCAGGCTGCATCGTTTGAAATGGACCAGCACATTTTGGAGCATCCTCCCTTGTATTTTCAGATCTTGCTTATTGTGGGGCAGCCACTTACGTTAGTGGATAAATTTGCTCTCTAAAATGTGTGTGGTATGGGAAGTGTATATGGGAGTAATGAGTGTCATATGAGTGCAGCCAGGGCCTGCACTGGGATGCAAATCAGATGAACTGGCTTCGTACAATACTTGAGGGGGAAGGACAGACAGGCTCCCAGGGAGTTTTGGACCCTGAGTTTATGAATAAAACCCTTCACTAATTTGTTTTAATTGTGCTCACTGCAGATTGTAGATTGCTCTCATCATTTTTTAAGGGCCAGGTCAGCACCTATGTTTGAATTATAATGAATTCTTTATTTAGCATGTTAATTTTAAAAATAATATTTCCCCTAAGTACTGTTTAGGCTGATGTAGATTCCAGCAGAAACAAAGATGTAAATATGACAATGACCATAAAACTTTTCATTAAGTCTTTACAGCCAACATAGGCTTGTGCACTTTGAAGTTGTATAAAGAAAAGTGTGTATTCACTTGAAAGACCTTTTTGTTGTTGTTTCTGAGACAACATCTGACCTGTTCAGGCTGGCATGAACTTGCTAGGTAGACTAGGATGACTTTGAACTCTGGTCCTCCTGCCTTCGCATCCTGAGAGCTGGGAATACAGTGTACACCTTTCTGTCCAGTGTGTGGTGCTGGGGGCTGAACCACAGGACATTGTGCCCATAGGCAAGCATCTTATCCACTGAGTTAGGTCCCTAGCCTAAAATACAAGAAAATTTTGTTAGTCAAAGCAATTGAACTGATAATATAGATAGCAATAGCCTTGCAGAAAGCTAGACAAGAGAGGGTCTTTTTGTTTGGTTTTGTTTCTCTCTCATTTGAGACAAGATCTTGTTGCAATAGGCCAGGCTGGCAGTCCTCCTGTTTCCACCACTCGGTGATGGCAAGGCATGTACTGCACACCCAGTCTGCAAGAGAGGTTTTCAAAATGCTGCCACAAGAAAACTGTGTCCTCTTGATGAGTACTTTGTACCTCTCTAGTGTCAGCAGTTAAGGTTGCATCATCTTGGAGTCCATAACATAAGCCAAGGCCCCTTGGTGGGTAAATGTGAGATTAAGAAGGGATTAGAGCTTGTTTGTGTCTAAGTAACCACAGGTGGGTTGGTCCCCATTCTTCTGCCCTTGCAGCCATTTATAGACCTGCCACAGCAGCTCTGTGTAGTGCTCTGTGCTGCCATGATGGCGTTCATGGCTGCTCTTTTGCGTCACAATCTTAAGTGTAAGAAAGTCAGTTCAAATTTATGAATTTCTATTAGTTGTAGTCCATTAAAAGTGACCAATTTCAGAAAACCTATAGTTTTTTTTT